ACAGCGTCATGTACAAAACTATGATACAACCTCGAGCAACAACATCAACATGAATATGAACCTACCGTGTCAAAACGACGTCCTGTAAAAAAAAAAAAAAAAAAAAAAAAAAAAAAAAAAAAAAAAGGCACTAACGCCTCCCTCTCCCTGCGGAAGGTCCAGATCCTCTGCCTCCGGAAGGACGCCCGCGGCCTTTCCCGGTGGACTGTCGACCATGCGCTCCTCTCAGGCCCCCTCCATCACCTGTGCCGCGCACCGCCCATGTATGCCGCCTGTGCTACAGCGGCTGCCGCGGACACGGCCGCTCTAGTCTGCGGACTGCAATGTCGATCGGCTCGGACTCTGTGTCTGCGTCCTCGTCCTCGGCCTCCGCTGCAGCAATCGTTTGTCGCTGCATCTGAATCGCGTCCAATGCAGCCTGGCCGGCGGCGATCTCTGCTGCGAGTCGAACCTCCGTGACGGCGCTGTGTCGTCTACTCCCACTCCGCATCGGCAACCCCTCCTCGCCAGATGTGTAGTGCTGACCGTGCTGCATGTCTGCAGCTGTCCCTCGGGCCGCAATCGGCGGTGGGATCAAAACTCTCCTCGTCGCCGATCGAGACAAACCGAGCATGCAGCCTGCCATGTGAACACTCGGACGTCCGCAACCTGAATCCGAGGTGACAAACGTCCTGCGAAGGCGCCCCTCCCGGCGTCGTAATCCGCCCTCATCCGGTCTGAGACCCGGCGATGACTCCGATGAGCTGCCCATCCTCCGGCAACACCACCTCCGACAGGCGGCAGGGAACCGGCAACGGGCGCACCGACGGTAGTGGCGTCGACGCCGCCCTTCATGCTCCGTGCGGGTGGCGGAGGCATCGATCCGGCAGATCCGCCATCGTCACTGCGGCGGCCCGACCCGCCATCAACCGGCCCGAACTCCCTCCCTCTAATGCCGTTGAGCGAAGAACCTGACCATCTAGGGCTATCCACGATGTACGGCGGAGGCGAATATGCCCTTCCAAGAGGGCGCCTCTCGTCGCTCCTGCGGCCCGTGTGGGGGAAAGGGTCATGTGAACCGAGTCGCGCCAAATCCTCGGCATCAAAACCAGCCTGAGCGAAGGCCTCAGGCCGTGTGAGAGGTAGTGTAGGCACTGACGGGTCCCTCAAGACCAAAGCCAGCCTACCCTCATCCACGTGGTGGCCGTCGTGGTCGCCGTCGTCGCTGCCGTCATCGCCGTGGTCGCCGTCGTAGTCGTCGTCGTCGCCGTCGTCGCCACCGTCGCCGTGGTCGCCGCCGTCATCGCCGTTGCCGCCGTCGTCGCCGTCGCCGCCGTCGTCACCGTGGTCGTCTCCGTGGTCGGACCCCTCCTCGTCCTCGTCCTCGTCCTCGCCGCCACCATCTCCCTGCTCGTCCTCGCTGCCACCATCTCCCTCAACACCCGTGGGGACACCATCTCCCTCAACACCCGTGGGCACACCCTGTCGGGCTGCCCCCGCATCAGCCTCCCCACCAAAACCCACGTCGCCTCCGTCACCGCCGCCACCCCCCCCTGTCTCCAACTCCCTCCGTCGGTGCTGCTCCTCCATATACGCGAAACGACCATCCCATCCCGGCAAAGTCTGCAGCCGCTCCTCCTCCTCTCTGTCCGGACGGGCATCCTGCTCCTCCTCGGTCTCTACATGACCCCGCTTATCAGAATCGTCGAGGAGCACGTCCGACAGCGAGACACCCCTCTGTCTCAGGGCACTGAGATCCCCCAAACCCCTGCCAGAGCCATCCACGTAGAAGTCGTCGGTGCGCAGCTCGGACGGCGAGCGGTGGCGCACACCGGCGCCGGATGGAGTCCTCTCCATCTCCGGAATGTCTGCAAGCCCGGTCCCCTCATGGTGCTCGGTCGCTGGTGTCTGCTGTCTCTCCGCTGCCGATGCGGACCTCGTCCTCGGCCTGGTAGGCTCAGGCGCTCCCATGGTCCGATAATGAGAGGGAGAGAACCGACAATCCCGAAGGCATACCTCCTCCTCCTCCTCCGCCCCCTCCGGCTCGCTGTCGCTCCTGTCCTCCCAACGTCTGCCCGTCTGCCGAAGGCCTCCGACTGGCTCCTGCTCCTCCACGTGCTCGTCGGCACGCGGTTGTTGTCGACGACGACTTCCGGCTCTGCCGGTGCCACTGGCCTGACCACCGGACGCCACATCGTCAGTGATGACGGATGTGTGTGGAGTCATCCCGTTAGGTCCTTCGCCGTACGTCAAATAGACCCGCTCCGCCGTCGCGTCGCCGTTGACGGGAGCGTCGTCATCGTCCGTCCACTCGTCGCCTGACGTATCGCTGTCCGCATCAGCGTCCGACGTCTGCTCCGGCCACGGCCGTAGGTCCACCGCCCTCTTGCCGAACACGTCCTAAACCGGGTCGGCTCTAGACGGTCGACAAGCATGGAAAGCGACGACCTAGCGCTCGATGTCGTGCTCGCTGAAACTGCCAGCGGGTCGCGCTCCCCACACCTCGGGGTCCACGTCCCCCTTGTCGTCCTCCTGCCCTCCCGCGGTCTCCTCCTGACCGGTCCCCATAACCCAGGGCAACACGTAGCCACTACCCTGCTGTGCGCATCTGGCCAGTTTGAGATTGGTGGCAATCTCAACCAGTTGTGCAAGCTTGGCAAAGCCAAGCTTGTGGCGCCTCGCGGTGTTGATGCGCTCGTGCTGAGCCCAGTTCCTCTCTGCAGGTGAGGCGGACGTCCACAAGTGCATCACATGGATGGCGATGGTGCGCAACTTAGGGTGATGACGTTCGTGATCAAACCACCACTGGGCACAACGCTCAGTCTCGCGGTCCCCCCGACAGTCGTCGGCCTCGGCATCGGACAGCTGCCGATCTACCCAATCTCCCCGCCGCGAGTGGAAATGCCTGATCTGGTCACGAACTGTCCTGTACAGTCTGCCGACCGGATCGCCACCAGTCTGTGCGAGCAGGAATCTGTCGCACTCCTCGACTACACGGGCGTCATCTGTAGTCGTCTGCAACGACTCATAATATCGGAGGGACCGGCGGCGAGGGTTGAGGAGGTGTGCCGCAGCATGTGCGGGCTCGAGCATGTGGAGGTTGCGGACGGCAACCTCGCGCACGCACGGCTCGACCATGTCCGCCGGCACATCCACCCTCCTCATCAACTCCAGAAGATGCTGACTCCACTCGTAAACGATGGACATCATCATCCCCCCTCTATCCATCCTCCTCAAGAGCTGGTGGATGGGCGACATAACGCAGATGGCACAGTCAAAGCATCGCCAGAACTCGTCGTCGCGGATCTGCTGCTGAACCCACTATGCCTGGGAGACAAGCCTGCGCTCCCATGTGATGCGAGCCCACACGTCGCCATGCAGCATGCTCACTAAAGCGTCCCGCCGGCCTTTGAGACACGTCAACATCTGGAAAACTGATGCAAACCGGGTCTCAAAGGGCTCAACCAGCGTCACACGAGGGCTCATCCTCTTGAAAAGGGCAAACGCAGCGCCGTGCGATTTAATAAATCGCACCAACGCTCGGGCACGGATGATGGTCTCCCTTGACCCACGCCACTCGCGTCCCGACGTCTGACAACATCAAGTTGCAGACGTGGGTGGAGCAGGGAAGCCAAGTGATCCTCCTGATGTCTGCGTCGGTGTCGGTGGCGAATCTGCGGGCCACCGCCGTATAGTTACTGGCGGAGTCCGTGCAGAAGCCGATCACGTCCTGTGCAGGAAAGGACAAGATGATGGCCCGCCACCTGCGGTACATGATATCCGCAGTGTCGCGGACAGACCCGTCACGTGCGACGGTGGCACACAGCAGGGCGTCGTTGGCGCCCCCCGCGAGGAAGTTCACAAGCGGCTTGCCGCTGTGCGACTTCCTCCCATCCGAGAGGATGGTGGCACCTATGTGCCGGAAAGCAAAGCGAACCTCGCTCACCATCGTCGCCACCTTCCCCCTCTGTGAAGGGATCCCGGTGCCTGCTGTGACCCTGTACAAGGGAAACCGGAACTGAATTGTCCGCGACACTCTCTCTGCCGCCCGCTGAACCCTCTGGAACTCTGGACCTCGGAAGGCGTTGAATGCAAACCCCTTCACGTAGATCCATTGCAGCCAGGCGTCATGGAATGTCGCCCTCCCCCACCGGCCTCTTCTTCCTCCTCGCGCGCTCCAACTCAGGTCGTGGTGCCCTAGGAGCGGGACCCGCTCGACCGACGCCTCTCGACGTCATCACCACCTCCTCTTCTGGCAGGTCAGGGTCTCCAACTGCCTCGTCAGCCTTCCCCCCCTCCCCAACCCCACCCTCGAGACCCTCCTCCTCATCGAGGGCGTCCTGAACATCGTCTCTCTCTCCAGACTCTCCCTCGTCCATCCGTTGTCGCTGCCCACCTGCAGCCACTCTCGTGTCCCGTACCCCCTCGTCAGTCATCCACCTCTGCACCCGCCGAGCAGTCGCGGGCTTGAATGTGTAGTTCGTGTCGTTCCATATTTCCACGAGAACTCTCATCCCCGCATCCTTGCAGTACTTGGCCTGCGTGAAATGGCGCGCGACCTTCCCCGCATTCCCCTGAAACAAGTGGCCGCAAAAGTTGCAACGCAACTTTCGGTCCCCATGCATCTTCGCCTGGTTCCCCACATGCTGTCCTGCAGTGACGAAGTTCCACACCACGTTCCCCTGCCTCAACCTCGCCATCTCCCTCTAAGACTGCGCGATGAACCCCCCACCCGCAGACCCCCCCGTACCGCTGGTCCCCGCACCCCCCGTCATCGTCCCCTGACTCAAAGCGTCGCAGTTGTCGTGTCGGCCGCCGGTGTCGTCCTTCCCGGCGCTCCGTCGATGAATGGCCCCGACGCCACTGCAGCCTCCGCGGCCCCAGATGTTGCAGCTCTCCTCGGCCTGGCTGGACCTGGCCGTCCTCGGCCCCCACAAGCCGGTCGAGCACCCGGCCGCGATCGGCCGCAATTGGCCGCAATCGGCCTCGATCGCCGCAATCGGCCGAGACCGGCCGCGGCCGGGCACTACAATCGCCGCGGGCGAAAAAAGGCCGCGCGGCGATGGTGCCCGCCGACGACCGCGCGCTGGCCGATGGCAGCGCAGCGGTGGCGACCGACTGCGATCGTCCGTCGCGGGCCCGCGCAAAGAAGAAGAAGAAGAAGAACAGGTGGGCCTCTTTTTCGGCCTCCAGCTTTTCCATCACCGGTCTCCTCACGGGTAATGACAAGTCCCTCTATGTCTCAGTTTAGCAGTTCACCAAGCGGTACTTCAGCAGCAGCAGCACAAACCGCTTCTTCTTCATCTTCAAGTCCCACGGCTGCCGCTACACAGCTGTTATGTACCCGATTGAAATTCCATCCACAATGAATTCACACGTTCCCATCCACACATGCAATTACGGAGTAGACTTGGAGGAGGCAAATCCACACAACACCGGAGAGAGAATATGCACAGCGGAAGCTCAAAACACAGAGAAGTGAAAAACGAGTTTCAATTTTGCAATCCCTCGTCCTCCTCCATTCAATCCAGAGTACTTGTTCCAAGAAACACAACCGTGTTTACAACAACCACGAACAACCAGAAACAAGTGTTCAACGAAGTATGCAGGAGTCTTCTTCTTCCTCCTCTCCACCTCATACCCCTGGCTATGGCTGCCGCAGCAGCAGTAACCCCACAACTGTCACAACGTGCCAATCTGAACCAGCAACCCCAATGATTACAGCGCCAGCTCGGCACCCACACGGAAGTGCAGCGCTGGAAGTCCTGATGAAGAAGGAGACAACCGATCCAGCACTTCGAAGAAGACAATGTTCCTCGAGAGGAGGAACAGTAGATATGGCTGCCAAGTGGAAGATGGCAGCACCCAAACCCAACAAGACAGTCCTGTGGAAGCTCTCATGCAGAGCTGCGAAATAGCAGCAGTGCTATCTTCAACTTTGTTTCCCAACCCCAGCTATGGCTGCGCTTCGAGGAAGAAGATGACCTCGCCCAAAATAGAGCAGCAGCGCTCCAGCAACGGACGGGCAGAGTTTCCCCAGCCAACAAAACGTGAAAAAGCCCCAAGCCAAACTTCCTGCCCGCTACTTCTACCCTCTGCCTAGACCTACGACAGACTCCAAAGGCCACAACCCAATACTCATCTGCATCTAGATGGAAACATGTGCAATCCACGCCCATCGCTTTGCTCCCCTTTGACCCGGAGGAATGAGAATGGACGGGCCAACAAAACTTGCATATCTGGGACTACACAGTCAAAGGGGGGTACAACGCAGCTCGGCCTCAACAACAGATAGGACAAACGATCTCATACAGATTGCAGCGGGACTCGCCGCTGAACCCACAACTGCTGCACAACCTCCCTTGGACCAAATATGCCAAACTCATGCCCACAAACCTCATATCCCTGCAATGGCAAATCTTGCATCGGTGTCTCCACACCCCCGATTGGATCGTATCCTGAACAGACCTCGAGCAAAAAGGAATGTTGTCCCCCATCTGCACGTACTGCGGCAGGGCAACACAGCCCGCCAGGGCAACGCTTGAACATTGCCTTCTGGCATGCCCGATGACTGCTCAAATATGGAGGTGGTGGGACGCAGCGTTCCACTCGCTAACGGACCACCACATCTCGTGGGACCTTGGTCTTATCCTCCTCGACAAAAACCAACAACTGCTTGCAAACTGGACCCCGCTCGCTGCTAACCTCTTCTCATAATCGAGGTTACATGTCCTCATGCAAGCCTGGAGAGCAAGGTGCTCCTACGAGAGAAAAGACCACCAGTTTGGATTGCAGAGAGCACAACAGGAGATAGAAGATGAAATCAGATCCTGCAAGGCTGCACCCAAAATGCCTGGAAGACCATGAGACACGAGTACCACGATGAAAAAGATGCCATCCTCAGGGAGGCTATTCGGGAAGCGTATTGCCAGATTTGGCAAGATCCTCACAATGTCTTCTCTGAACTGCAACACGACCTCAATATACAGTGGAAACACTGGAGGGCAGGAGAGCTGGCCTGACAAAGGAAACCCCTGGAAGACTTTGCATTCCCGTTCCTCCCGACCAATTTTCTGCTAATTTCTTAAGAGCCCCACCACACCTCCCGCATGCAGCGACCTCTCCCGCCTGCCCATCTGCTACCCCTAGCATTGTCCCCCCCCCCCCGCCCTTCTACCACTCCCATACCGTCAACAGCCCGCTATCTGATCACATGCTGCAGACAAAGGGGGCGACTGGGTGACTTCAAGACATCGGATCGACAGGAGAGGAGCCACATCAGCCGCTGATCAGAAAGATACCTCTCGTTGGGGTCATGAGATCAACGGACATGGGAGGACGGATACATAACAAATGGTTACTATAACTTGCGATAAAAAGAGAATGTGCAGTACTGAGGGTTTAGGGCCCAGAACCCCCACATGACGAAGTACCAGAATAGACCACGACATATCAGGCGCTCAGAGGTTGAGTGAAGAGGTCAAACTTGGATACAGACCAAATCCCGACAGCCTGTGACTGACTGAAAACATAACGAAATCAGTCTAACATTGTTCAACATGGATCAAAACCTAGCATTCCAAAGGGTGGGGGTTGGGGAATGGGAGGTCACTCTGCCTACATGTATCGGGTCCCAAACAGAGGGGGTGCAGCCTGACTCCATGAGTAAAATCCGCGACTGGAGGGAAATAGCAGCCATGGGACTCGGGTTTACTGCCACCCAAATACAGCTGTCATGTAGGCAAAAGACTTAGGATACTGAGTACGTGTGTAGCCTCATTCACGAACTGTCTCCTTCATGGGTGGACCATGCAGCTATCGGTACCGCATTCAAATGTTTGTGTAAACAAAGAAACATGTTGTTCTAGGATGTTGGACCCGGTTTCCAGCAGGTGCAGCTCCCCACCAATAGATGGAGCCTCCCCGAGAGTGAAGATGTGAAAGTCCTTCCGATCCCCTGCATGGGTCACAATATCTGGTCAACGGTATCCTGGATAGCATCCAGTTTGTTGTCCATCTAAGCATGCATGGACAATAGACCCGCCTTGAGGATTTTGCTTGTGTCGTCAAGAGTCGCGTCATTTAACCCTTCTACAGCAGCTTTGTCTGCCCTCCTATTCACCATCCACTTTGTTGTCCATGTAAGCATGCGTGAACAGTCGAACCGCCTTGAGGATCTTGCTTGTGTCGTCAAGGGTTGCGTCATCTAACCCTTCTACAGCAGCGTTGTCTGCCCTCCCCTCCTATTCTCTAGTCTCGCTTTCCTATTTCTAATTTCTGTCTCTCTTTCAGTGGCTTCTCTAAGTTCCTTCTCTAACCGTAAGCGGATCAACTCCACTTGCTGGAGTTCGATGGCTTCTCTTATGCATGGAGGTGGCGAGCTGTATTGCAAGCCCGCCATCAGACTAGAAGAATTGCTTGGTCCCATCCCGCTGGACGTGGACTGCAAACTGGTCAGCATGCCTAATGTCTGATGACTAGAGGAAGCAGCGGAAGTAGCCATAGCTGTTGCAGTGGCTGTCGCTGCGGCAAGCGTTTGCTGGGCTGCTGCTGCCGCTTCTCTCTCTCTCTTTCTGCAAACGTTCAGCTACTACTTCCCATCGTATAGCCCTCTCTCCCTCAGCTGGTAAAGCTTGGTGCACGATTGGGATCCTAAGGGACTCCAGACGTGTCACCCTTCTTCCTACTGATTTATCCTCCCCACTGCCTGGTCCACTCGTCAGCTCGGTAGACACCGTCTGCACTAGTGCCCTCACTGAGGCCTACCACAGCATGTGTCTGACCCGGTTGTCTAAGCCGTCTGTTAGGTGTTAGCAATCTGTCCACCAACTAATCCAAATAAAAATAAATCATATGCGTAGATGTATGCACAATGGAAATAGTTGTGAATGTAGTTGAGAACCAATTGGAACCTTCCTTCCCCTGTATCCAGCGTGCCTGTCTGCATCATCAAGCAGCGGTGTCTAAGGTGTGCATTAACTGTCCACCCTTGTGCCCAGGAACTCACTTATGACCAGCACTGCCCTTTGTTTATCCTCGCGTGCAACGAGCCTTCCATCCGACTGATCTGGCTGATCAAGAGGCAGTTTAAGGACAGCCCCCTAAGGTCCTTAGGAATAATTTAACGCCGCAGACAGGACGGCGATCACAGCCAGAATTCAGAACACAAAAATATTTATAGACGGTCTGGTTTCGTCTTGGATAGGACTGGTCAGTCCACGTTCCCTCTTTTGGCGCAGCAAAGAGCTTCGAAGGACAAAGCAGCATGGCTTGCGTGTACTGCTCCCATGGGTTGGCATGATGACCGTGACCCGTGCTTCGACCAGAGCCCTTCAGAGGCACCGCCCTCTCCTGCCAGATGCACCATCAGGAAGAATGTCGACTCTCAAGGTAAAGCACTCACGACTCCTTAACCAAAAGAGGACACTCAATAAGGACTCGCTTCCTCACGGTAAGAAGTGACTGAGAGGGAAGACAAGGTAACGGATCAACATACCTCAAGATAGCTGCCCCCAACCACAAAATTTCTCACCAGTTGAGCTGACATGTATTTCGATGACCGGTCATAGCCTCGGTACCACCCACAATGCAATGCAGTGCCACCTCAGACATCAACATGCTCTCGTCATCACGAATACGACAGCTCCCACGCTGTACTGCAGCATTCCGGCCAACTCCCCTTTACCCGGGAGTGGCTGTTCATGCTAGTGCTAATGTATCCTTACTGCATAGAAGCATCGTCAGCGCACCAAGTAACAATGTCACCAGCGCCAGGTAA